TAACATAGAACTTCTGCTCGGATGTGGCCCGTGGTAGCTCAGTAACCAAGTAGTTTTCCAAAGTAAGGAGAACAAGGACTAGTTCTAACAGGATCTCAAGGGCAGGCTCTTTGACCTCCCCCCACCAGGGGAGGAGCAGTCCTGTTAGGCCACAGAGGAGGACTTTGCAGCCAGCCTTGAAGATACCTGATAAAACAGGGTCAAATGAAAGGGGAGGAGGTCCTCCCCTATCAGTGGACTTGGAAAGGGACAAAGAGGAGACCAGGGAGGGAGTTGGGGAGGGGGAGGGAATGAGGGAGCGGGATACAGCTGGGACACAGAGTTAACAAATTGTAACTAAAAAGAAAAATAAAAATTTTAAAAAATGGGGTACAGAGCTAAACAGAGAATCCTCAACAGAGGAATATTAAATGGCAGAGAAACACTTAAAGAAATGCTCAATGTCCTTAAGCATCAGGGAAATGCAAATCAAAAAGACCCTGAGATTTCATCTTACACCCATTCAGAATGGCTAAGATAAAAAACCTCCCCTATCAGTGGACTGGGGAAGGAGCATGGGTGCAGAAGAGGGGAGGGAAGGTGGGATTGGGAGGGGAAGAGGAAGGGAGCTACAGGGGGTATTCACAGTGAATAAACTGTAACTAATAAAAATAAAAAATAAATTTAGAAAAAGCCTAAAGGGATGATAAATGCTGGAGAAGATGTGGAGAAAGGGGAACCCTCCTCCATTGCTGGTGGGAACGTAAACTTGAACTACCACTTTGGAAATCAATACCACTCTTTCTCAGAAAATTCAGAATAGTGCTACCTCAAGATCCATAATAGGTGCTACAGACTCCATTAATCCACCAGTCTATTTCTATGCTGGTACCATGCTATTTTTATTACTGTTACTCTATAGTACAGCGTGACATCAGGAATGGATATACTCCTGAAGATCTTTTATTGTACAGTATTGTTTTAGTTACCATGGGTTTAATAATAATATGGCACATGAGCAAATTAAAAAAAAAAACATTTTGGTAATTTCTCCTTCCTTGCATTTCCTCAGACACTTAAGCTGTTTATGGTCTTTGTGTCTCCATCTGAATTTTAGGATATTTCTTCTAATTAAAAAAAATGTCATTAGTATTTGATTCTTATTCCATCTATATATAACACTTTTCAGTAATATTTTGATTTTCACAATATTAATTTTATTAATTCTCCTAACTCACGTATACAGAAGTCATTCCACCTCTTACTGGCTTTTTTCTCCAGTTCTTGAAGATTTTCTATGGTCTATTATTTTGTGTACTTTACCATAGTGTTCTTTACTTTCATTAGTTTTCTGTAAGTACTTTATTCATGCTTTGGTGAATGTCGTTCCCTGGTTTCTTTCTCAGTTTGTTTCTTATTGGTTCTAGGAAAGTCCCTAATCTTTATACACAAATTTTCTCTTCTGCTACTCTGCCATAAGTGTTTATAATAATACTCTCTTAAGAGTTTTCAGGCTGAGTCTTTAGGGTGTTTTAAATATAGGATCTTATCATCTTTAAATAGATTTGTTTTCCCCCTTCCTGTGTATAATTTCTTCTATTTCTTTCCCTTGCCCAGCTGCTCCGGTTAAGGCTTTAAGGGCTCTCTTGAGTAAGGGTGCAGAAATTCAATATGCATTTTACATTCCCAGCTGCAGAGGAAATGTTTTCAGGTTGTGCTTGTTTCGCACAATGCCGGCTGTAGCCATGGCTTATGTACTCTATTGTATTTGAGTGTCCATGATCCTTCTAAAACTACTTTCTTTGGAGTTTTACTATAATGAGGGACTGAGTTTTCACTATGACATTTTTTTTACAACTATTGATACTATGTAAATTTTTTGTCTTTGATTCTATTTTATACACTTTCTAACAATTATTAGTAACAAGGAATTTCATAATTAAATATCTTCATATTTACAGTTTTTTCTTCTTTTATACTCTAATATGTTCCATGACATATTTACTTATTTCTGTGTAAAAGCTCCAGTTTTTAATATTTTATATTTTATTGTAAATTTTATTTTCCATAAGCACACATCCAAATTATCAGACTTTATCAATTAACAGGGTCTAGTTTTACAAAAGTATCTTTCAGGCTGAAAAGACGGGTCACCAACAGCAATCACTTGTTCATTTAGAGAACCTTGGTTGTACTCTGCATATGGTGTACTACATACACGCAGGCAAAACACTCATGTATCTCTACATATATATATATGTGTGTGTGTGTGTGTGTGTGTGTGTGTGTATATATAATTGGATTTGGAATTACTTAAAATAAACTTGATTACTCTTCTTGGTTAATTCACCATTCTGATAATGACCAAAGCATTTAGATTTCAATTAAATTCATGTGTCTCGTTGAAAGTTATTATTACTTTTCCATAACTGAAAACGACATACAGTGATATTTTTCCTAGTCTTTTTATGTTGTTCCAAGTTTTATTAGAGTGTTAAGCATGTATCAGAAACCAGTGCACGGGACTTTCAAAGAGTGCTGAGTGTGTTAAGTGGAATCATAATAATCTTTAGTTTTTAAACATCTATTTCTAGCATGAGGAAAATACTTTGATTTCAAAATGTATCTGGTAAATATGATCACCTGCCAAAGTTTTTGCTTACATTTAATAGTTTGTTTAAGGATTTGCATATAGTTGTGGCCTCAGCTATTTTAGATGTACAATTATACATTGTATGAAATAATTGTGTCATACGTGATACTATAGTAAAAAAAAACAGACAGGTGAATTCAAAGTACTAAGAATCACATTTCTGGATACTAAAAGCAACAGTCAGCCAAGGCAGTGGTGAGCCACAGATGCTCAAGAGTCTGGGGGTTAAGGTGAGGCTGTGCATCTTAGAGTGGCCTTGAAATTTTTCTAAAAGAAGAATAGGATGTTCTTTAGTTATGGAGCTCCTGCTTAACTAAATGTGGAAGGACCTGGGTTCAATCCTCAGTACAACAATAAATAAATAATGACAGTAAACAAACAACAGTAAACAGATAATAACAAGAAAAAAAAAGCTGTAGCTCTGATGGATGCTACATATTAACATACACGACAAGCTGAGTGTGAAAACGAAGGCTGGTACACTATGCCACTGCGGGTTGAAACCTCTAATCCTGAATGACACCCTCGAAAGGTAAGGAGTTACCTCACCAGTGACTAACACTGCAAACATTTCCACATTTTATGAAAGAGAAAGCCTGATGAACTCATCAACTCTTGTAGGACAAGAGCTCCTTCAAAGCAAGTTGGTGTAAAAGAGAGCATCTTTTTTACAATATCTGGTTGGTGAAGACTTGGTTTAGTTTTGTTTGTTTTAGTTTCGGTTTTGGTTCTTTTTTGAGACAGGATTTCTCGGTGTAGAGTTGGTTGTCTTGGACTCCATCTGTATACAAGGCTGGCTTTGAGCTCAGAAAGATCCACCTGCATCTACCTCCCAAGTTCTGGGATTCAAGGCATGCACCACCACTGCCCACCTACATAGATTTTAGTTTAAAAAAAGAAGATTTATTTGCTGTGTGTGTGTATGTGTGTGTTTGCAGTACATATGTCTGTATCTTGTGTGTGAGCTGCCTGCAGAGTGTAGAAGAGGGTGTTGAATCCTTTGTAACCTAACATACAGATGATTGTTATTTTAATGTCTAGTACTACTATTATTATTATTTATTCACTTTGAATCCCAGTTGTAACCACCTTCCTCTCTCTCCCTCCCTTCTATCCTTCCCCTAGTTCACTGATAGGGGAAGTACTACTCTTCTACTTTCTGACCCTAGCCTATCAGGTACCATCAATACTTTCCAGATCCTCTTTCTCTGTGTACTGGTTAGGTTGGCCCACCATAGAGAAGTGAGCAAGTAGCAGACCACCAAGTTCATGTCAGAGAACTCTCTTCTCCCCGTACTAGGGAACCCACATGGGGACTGAGCTGTCTATGGGCTACATCTGAGCAGGAGATCCAGGTCCTTCTTATGCATGGTCTTTGGTTGATACATCAGTCTCTGCAGTCCTCCCTGGTCCCAGATGTTTTGGCTTGGTTGGTCTCCTTGTGGGTCCTCTGTTCCCTCCCAGTCCTTCTATCTGCCCCTTCTTCCATAAGACTCTGTGTGCTTTGTCCAAAGTTTGGCTGTGAGTCTCTGCATCTGCTTCAATCCCCTGCTGGGTGGAGTGTTTTAGAGGACATCTGTGGTAGGCTCCCATCCTGTTAACCACTATGTGATTACTGGAACCCAAAACCTGTTCTCTGAAAGGGCATCCATTGTTTATAATTTCTGGCTGGGCATCTCTCCAGCTCCCTGTTAAGTTTTCCACAGGTATGGAGCTGAAATATTATTACTACTGTATTCATTGACTTTTGTAGATCTTATTTCTAAGTCACTAAAACAAACAAACAAAAAACCCTTGGTAACTTTGAAAATCATTCCAGGTATACTCAGCTGGTAAACTCTATGAGAAACAAAGGAAATCTTAGGAAGAAAATAAATTGGTCCTATAGGAAAACTGGAAAGACCACAGAAGTATCAAGTACACCTAACACAAGGGACCGGAAGGAAGGGATTTCCAGTGACATGTGACCGCAAGGGTCAGATGTCATATACACGATAAGTTGTGCAATTTTTAAAGAATAAGGCTTCCTGCTACAGAGGTCCCGGTGCAAGATTTAAAGGAGCAGGATAAAGAGACAAAGCTTTAAAATAAAACGGAGAAAGCTTTAAAGAAGAATAAACAGCAACTTCTGCTACCTGAGTAGTGTCACTGGAAAGGCAAGTGGGAAAACTAGGCTCTGATAGGAGTAAAAACAAACCATAACATTGAGTACTAACAAACAACCATTGTCAGCAAAATCCAAAAGTTAATAGTGACAAATTACAGGTGGATATAAATTAACAGAAAATTCTTCCTCTCTCCCAACTAATTATGATTTGTCTTTTTTTAAATGCCCCTAATTGAAATTTCCTACTTTTCTCTATTCAAGGTCAAATCATCAGTATAAATGGTGGCAGATCAATTGGTTGGTTGGATTTCTTGGTGCCACTCTACTTGCTTGGTTCTTATTTTTTCCACTGTTGTGTTTTCCAACTAATTTACCTGGTGAGTATAAAAATATAATTAATTAGTTAAGAAGTGGGAAATAGCAAGAGCTGGAGAGGACAGGAACTCCACAAGGAGAGCAACAGAACAAGAAAATTTGAACACAGGGAACTACCCAAAGACTCATACTCCAACCAAAGACTATTCATGGAGATAACCTAGAGCCCCTGCACAGATGTAGCCCACGACAGTTTAGTGTCCAAGTGGGTTACATAGGAATGGGAAGAGGGACTGCCTCTGACATAAACTGATTGGCCTGCTCTTTGATCAACTCCCGCTGAGGGGGGAGCAGCCTTACCAGACCACAGAAGAAGACAATGCAGCCATTCCTGATGTGATCTGATAGACTAAGATCAGAAGGAAGGAGAGGAGGACCGCCCCTATCAGTGGACATGGGGAGGAGCATGCATGCAGAAAGGGGCGGTAGGGTGGGATCGGGAGGGGAGGAGGGAGGGGCTTATGGGGGATACAAAATGAATAAAGTGTAATTAATAATAAAAAATATATAATTAATTAGTTATAGTAATTTATACCCTCAGTTCCTATTCTCAAGGCACCAATAAACTACATATTTTTATGAATATGCTCCTCTTACTGGTATTGTTCTATAATAAAGAAATATACTGTCATGGTGTATTTTTAACCAAATCAAGCAATATCACATCCAAAAATTATATTTATGCACTATGTTATATGAACTTCATTAGTATATATTTATGCTGCATATTATTTGTTTTTAATAATCTCATTTTTATTTAAAGTGCCTAGCTGTCTTTTAAAAATGAAGTATATGCAATTTTATTTTTCTAGTGTGAGGGTCATGATTCTCTAGAGTAAAAGAACTTATAGAATGAATCTTTCTCTCTATATAGAAAGGGGTTTATTAGAATGACTCATAGGCTGTGGCCCAGCTAATCAAAAACTATCTACCTATAAGTGTGGGGTCCAAGAACCCTGTAGTTTTTCAGTTCATGAAGCTGGATGTCTCAGGTAGTCTTCAGTATACATTAGAATCCCAAAGAAGAAGTTTTGAATGCAGTGAATGAATGGACTTCCTATTGATGACAAGAGCAAGTAGCCATAAAGCAAATATAGCCAGGAAAAAAAAATCTGATTATTCAGTTATTAAGCAAACACAAATAGAAATGAAAGATGAAAATACAATATACACAAACATTTGGGACATAGCTGAAAGAGTTCTGAAAATAAAAGCTCACCACTAACAAAACATATGTTAAAAACTAAGTAATTTCTTAATGAAACACAAAAGGACAATAAATATTTGAAAAATCCTAAACATCCTTTCCCATTAAGGAAATACAAACTAAACCTGCATTGAAATTCTGTCTCCTCTTGGGTAGAATATCTGTAATCAAGAGAATAAATGCTAATGAGGATATGGTGAAAGAAAAGTTTTTATTCAGTGCTTGAGGAAGTATAAACTTGTAAAATTATATATAAACTCTGCAGGGTTCTCAAAAATGTTTTGAAAATAAGGAGCTGGAGAGATGTCTTAGTAGTTAAGAATGCATGCCACTCTTGCACAGAAGTTAAGTCCGGTCACAAGTGCCTATATCTCTGGGATTCACGAGCAATTGCTTATTTGCGCAAACACCACACACACACACACACACACACACGTTACACATAGACACCCCAAACCCACATATTTCACATGATTAAAAATCTTTTTTTAAAAATTTAAGCTATAATTATCATATGACCTAGTTATATGTATGTATATGTATGCCTGAAGATTCTGTCACAGATATAGCTCTGTATCGTTGCTTAACTGCTTCACTACTTACAGTAACTGAAAAAACTGAACCAATCAAGATCTTCATAGTTTTGTAGAATAAAAAATAAATGTGGTATGTGTGTGTTGGGAGTACGAAGGTTCTTATACCCACAGGTCTCCAGAGAAAGCAGGAATGTTAAGCACACAGGATTGTCCTCTCAAACATATAGACACATAACTTGTTCTTCCATCCAGAAAGCTGGGAATTGGAGACTGGTGGTCTGTGTTATCTGTTGGGTCAGGCCATAGAAGTGCCTACAGTCAGGACCAGAAGTGTCTAGTAATCTTAATGACACTTACATTACCTGTACAGGAGGGGCTCCTCCAAGCTACCATAACCAAGACCTGAGATAACTAATAATTCTCTCTCTCTCTTTTATTTCGAGACAGGGTTTCTCTGTGTAGCCTTGGCTGTCCTGGACTCACTTTGTAGATCAGGTTGGCCTTGAACTCACAGAGATCTTCCTGCTTCTGCCTCCCCAAGTGCTGGGATTACAGGCGTGCACCACCACGCTCAGCTAAATGACTCTTATATTATCCTTTTCTCCAAGGGTTCCCACACGTGGGATCAGAGGGACTGATAACCAAAATGAACTAGATGTTGTCTATATGACCAAGAGCTAGCCAGATTTTATTTAGTTCCTTAAGCCAATACAGGTAGCCTATCTCTGGAACCCATCTTCTTGTAAGAAATGACATGTACCCTGTATTAAGACTGGATGCAATTATTGCCTCCTTATACACTAGGAATTGTGTTACTCCAGAAAACATTTTTCCAAATTATATTGTGTTTAAATACGCTGACAATAAAATGCTTGGAATCAGATCTCTTGTGGTTTGATCTAGGGATCAGGAAGTCAGTCCGAACTGAGTTTGCATTCTCACTTTTTCATGTTTTTTTTCCCTGCCTGCAGACACCGTGATCTATGAAAAATAAATTTTTATTCAGCCATAAGTAAAAAATGAAACTATGAACACTTTAAGAAAACTGATAGAACTAGAAATTATGTTAATTCAAACCAGTTAGACTCAAAAAGTCAAATATCAAATGTTTTTCATCCATATGTGGTATATAAATTTTAGAATATGTATGTCTGTACACATTGTGTGTGTGTGTGTGTGTGTGTGTGTGTGAATGTGCACATGTGGGGTGGAGAGAGGGTTATGGTTGTGACAGAACTAGAAAGGATATCATGTGAGGGTCTAAAAAGAACTTAAGGGAAGTTGGATATACTGTAATGAAATACAAATAACACATAAGTAGAACTTGAGACTTTCAGGAGAAAGGGTTTAGCTGGAAGGGGTAGATGATGTATGGAAGAGCAATAAGAAGAAGGAACAAATAAGAGCAGAGTATGATGACATATACACATGAAAATAAAGTTATAAATCCCTGGGGATGCTTCACTTTGATGTAAAGAAAACTCATTAAACTTGCAGGGAAAAGACTGAGAAGGCACATACATTTAGGACATGAAAGGGGAACAGGAGCTATGTGAGAAGAAAGATGAAAGGACGAGGACAGGATAGTGGATGTCTGTAAGAAAAAGTGTAGTGATTCATGTATGAGAATAAAAATGTTATAGTTACGTTTGTTAATATTACTACTACTGCTACCATGTTATTACTCTGTACTATCACAATGTTCCCACTCAGCAGTGTGTTTTATTTACCACAACACACTTTATGATATATGAAAGCAGTTCTTTGAGGGCATTTTAGATCTTTGTCATCAAAGGTATTTATTGAATGTGGCTATTGAATTATATATTAAGAATAAACTAATTCAGCTATAGGAACGACTGACAACTAAGGAACCCACTCCCAGTACCTAAGAAACCCACAGAGTGGTGGACTACAGTACTGGGCAGTACAGATGTGAGAAATTTTCATTATCAAATAATTGTCTTTTGCAAAGCACTACTGTCAAAGAATTTATATTCTAAAATATGCATTGATGTTAGTTCGTTTAAAGTAATTCCTTACATTTTTGTGTCAAACTGAGATTATTAAAATGTGTACAAATGCATGATTCATATTTTCTTACTGACCTAGAAATATCATAAGATTATTTTTCTTGTGACCTATAGGTGCACAAAAGATAAGACTTCGGAAAGAAAGGAAACCTTCCACCGTTGACAGGAGGCTTAAAGATAAGGAGATGGAACTTCATGTGATTGGTTTGTGGCAAGCTCTTAAGGTATAATATTTTTGTTAACAAGCGAGTTAGGGTGACCTATTTAATTTTTTTTTTTTATAAAATTAAGAAAATTACAAAGGGCTTACTAAATTTGGGTGAAAGTTTTGGAGCCTCATTTAAATTACTAATTTTTCTTATAATGGAAAAAAACTCATTATTTGGTGTTGTTAAGGATATGTCTAGTATAAATACAAAATAATATAAATACAAAATAATGTAAAATATGACAAATAGAAATAAATATGACATTTAACAAGATGATATGAATTAGAAAAACTTGTGTCAACACATACTCCCTTCTCCTCACACACACAATATTGAATATAAAATCTTTTGTTGCTATAGGTGAGAAATAGGCCTACTTTAGTAATAGACGCCAAGATGCAGAGGAAGTCTCTTCCAATGTACTAGTCCTACATTGAGTGGTTTTCTTCTACTTAAAACTTTCTGTCTGGCATATAGATTACATGGTTGTAATTTTCATATATCAGTTTTATTTATTTTTAGCGATTAATACACTCTGAGTATAACTTCCAGAAGTCTGCAAAAATAACATCAATTGATTCTTTTTTTAAGTTCACGTTAGAAATGTATCTCTATCTTCCCATTTTCCAGTTACTTTTTCTTTCCTGCAGATACTTGATATTTCATTGCTCAGCCTGTTGCTCTACTCAAAATATCCCATCCCTTTTAAAATTACTTTTTACTTTTAAATTAAAACATATTATGACTCTACACCCCTACACCCCTACACCCAGCTAAAATGTAGATCTTTTATTCAATTGGTTGACTAGTCTACTTTTGTTCCACTACCATGCTTTTTTTATATGTGGTTCTGTATTATAACCTGAAATCATGTCCTATGCTTCCAGCTGTGTCCTTACTGTCCAAAATGATTTTGACTGTCCTTGTTACTGTGAATTTTAAGATATATATATTTTTTTAGAACTGAACTGTCATTTTTATATTTGAATTAAATTGTTGAAGAAGATGTGAAGTAGATGAATTCTTTAAAAGTTAAGTAGATGTGCAATATAAGATTTATTTTCACCTGCTCTTATTCAATCTCTCTTTATTAAATCAAGAAACCTTTGAAGTAAGTGATTATATTCCAACAAGACTTTAATTTAATTTTAAATTTGCACTACATTGCTCAGGCTACACTTGAACATAACCTGTCTTCAGCCTCTGGAGTTGTATAGTTTAAGATATGAAGCACCACAGCTAGTTATCTATTCTACGCAAATTTATTATTTTTTTATATTTTTAACATTTATTTTATTTTTATATTAATTACAGTTTATTCACTTGTATCCCAGATATAGCCACCTACCTTGTCCCCTACAATCCCACCCTCCATCCCTTATCTCCTCCCATGCCCCTCTCCATGTCCACTGATAGGGAAGGTCCTTCTCCAATTCCATCTGATCCAAGCCTATCAGGTTTCATCAGGACTGGCAGCATTGTCTTTCTCTGTGGCCTGGTAAGGCTGCTTCCCCCTCAGGGGGAGGTGATTAAAGAGCCAGCCACTGAATTCCTATCAGAAACAGTCCCTGTTCCCCTAACTACGGAACCTACACAGACACTGAGCTGCCATCAGCAACATCTGAGCAGGGGTTCTAGGTTATCTCCTTGCATGGTCCTTGGTTGGAGTATCAGTCTCAGAAAAGACCTGAGTGCCCAGATATTTTGGTTCTGTTGCTCTCCTTGTGGAGCTCCTGTCCCTTCCAGGTTTTTCATCTCCCCCTTCTTTCATAAGATTCCCTGCACTCTGCCCAAAGTTTGACTATGAGTCTCAGCATCTGCTTTGATACCCTGCTGGGCCTTTCAGAGGTCCTCTGTGGTAGGCTCCTGTCCTGTTCTCTGTTTTCTCCCTCTTCAGATGTTTATACCATTTGCCTTTCTGAGTGAGGATTTATCATTTTACCCAGCGTTCTCCTACTTGTTTAGCTTCTTTAGGTATACAGATTTTTTTCTCTTTTTTAAAAACTTTGTTTTATTTTTATTTATAACAGTTTATTGTTTTTTATCCCAACAGTAGTCCCCTCCCCCAACCCTCTCAAACCCATCCTCCCTCCCTCTTCTTCTATGCTCCTTCCCTAGTCATATGACCCTAGTCTATCAAGTCTCATCAGGACTGGCTTCATTGTCTTCATCTGTGGACTGGTAAGGATGTTCCCCACTCAGGTGAAGGTGATCAAAGAGCCACCCCATGAGTTCATGTCACAGACAGTCCCTGTTTCTATTACTAGGGAACCCTCTTGGACAGTGAACTGCCATGGGCTACATCTGTGCAGGGATTCTAGGTTATCTCCATGCATGGTCCTTGGTTGGAGTTATCAGTCTCCCAAAAGACCACTTTGTCCAGATTTTTTGGTACTTTTTCTCTCATTGTGAGGCTCCTGTCCCCTACAGGTCTTTCTATCTCCCCTTTTTTTCATAAGATTCCCTACACTTTGCCCAAAGTTTGGTTATGAGTCTCACCATATGTTTTGATACCCTGCTGGGTAGAGTCTTTCAGAGACTCTCTGTGATAGGCAGCTTTCCTGTTCCATGTTTTCTCGCTCTTCTGAAGTCCATACATTTTGCCTTTCTGAATGAAGACTGAGCATCCTACCCAGGATCCTACTTCTTGATTAGCTTCCTCAGGTATGCAGTTTTTTCGTGTGATTACCCTATATTATATGTGTAATATCCACTTATAAGTGAGTATATACCAATTGCGTCTTTCTGCTCCTGGGATACCTCACTGAGGACGATCTTTAATAGATCTCACCATATACCTGCAAATTTCATGATTTCCTTGTTTTTAATTGCTGAGTAGTATTCCATTGTGTATATATACCACAATTTCTGTATCAACTGAGGAACATCTGGGTTGTTTCCAGCTTCTGGCTATTACAAATAAAGCTGCTACAAACATGGTTGAGCAAATGTCTTTGTTGTATCCTTAAGCATCTTGTGGATATATGCCAAGGAGTGGTATAGCTGGATCTTGAGGAAGCAGTATTCCTAATTGTGTGAGAAAGTGCCAGATTGATTTCCAAAGTGGTTGTACAAATTTACATTGCCAACAGCAATGGAATAGGGTTCCTCTTTCTCCACATCCTCTCCTGCATGTGTTGTCACTTGAGTTTTTGATCTTAGCCATTCTGATAGGTGTAAGGTGAAGTCTCAGGGTTGTTTTGATTTGCCCCTCCCTGATGGCTAATGACATTGAGCATTTCTTTAGGTGTTTCTATGTCATTCAATGTTCCTCTATTGAGAATTCTATGTTTATCTCTGTTCTCCATATTTTAATTGGATTACTTGATTTGTTGCTTTTTAACTTTTTTAGTTCTTTATATATTCTGGATATCAGCCCTCTGTCAGATATAGGATTGGTGAAGATCCTTTCCCAGTCATTTTTTTCTGATGACAGTGTCTTTTGCTTTACAAAAGCTTTTTCAGTTTCATGAGGTCTCATTTACTGATTGTTGCTCTTAGAGCCTGTGCTGTTGATGTTCTGTTCAGGAAGTTATCACCTCTGCCAATGAAGTCAAGGCTCCTCCCCACTCTTTCTTCTAACCTATTTAGTGTGTCTGGTTTTATGTTGAGGTCTGATTCACTTGGACTTTAGTTTGTGCAGGATGATAAATATGGATCTATTTTCATTTTTCTGCATGTAGATATTCAGTTGGACCAGCACCATTTGTTGAAGATGCAGTTTTTTTTTTTTTTAACATTGAATGGTTTTGGCTTCTTTGTCAAAAATCAAGTATCCATATGGGTGTGGGTTTATTTCTGGGTCTTCTGTTTGTTCCATTGATCCACTATTCTGTTTCTATGCCAATACCATCAGGGATGGACATACCTCCAGAAAATCTTTTATTGCAGAAGATTGTTTTTGAGATTTTGAGTTTCTTGTTATTCCATATGAAGTTGAGAAGTTTTCTTTTAAGGTCTGTAAAGAATTGTGTTGGTATTTGATGGGAATTGCATTGAATGTATAGATTGCTTTTGGTAAGATAGCCATTTTTACTATGTTAATCCTGCCAAGCCATGAGCATGGGAGATCTTTATATCTTCTGATATTTTCATCTATTTCTCTCTTCAGAGACTGAAGGTTTTTTTCATACAAGTCTTTGACTTGCTAGGTTAGAGTCACACCAAGATACTTTCTGTTATTAGTGGCTATTGTGAATGGTGTTGTTTCCTTAATTTCTTTCTCAACCCATTTGTCTTTGGAATACAGAAGGGCTACTGATACGTTTGAGTTGAATTTGTATCCAGCCACTTGGCTGAAGGTGTTTATCAGGTGTAGGAGTTCCTGGTAGAATTGTGGGAGTCACTCAGGTATACTATCATATCATCTGCAAACAGTGATACTTTAACTTCTTCCTTTCTGAACTGAATCCCTGTGATCTCCTTTAATTGTCTTATTGCTCTAGCAATAAGTAGATAAGACTTTAAGTACTATGTTTAAGAGGTATGGAGATAGTGGACAGCCTTGCCTTGCACCTGATTCCAGTGGGATTGATTTAAGTTTCTCTCCATTGAGTTTGATGCTGTCTATAAGCTTGCTGTATATTGCTTTTACTATGTTTAAGCAAGTGCCTTGTATCCCTGATCTCTCCAGGACTTTAAAAATAAATGAATGCTGGATTTGTTCAAATGCCTTTTCAGCATCTAAAAAGATTATCATGTGGTCTTTTACTTTCAGTTTGTTTATATGTTGAATTACATTGATGGATTTCCATATATTGAACCACCTATGCATACATGGATGTAACCTACTTGGTCATAGTGGATGATATCTTCGATATGTTCTTGGATTCGGTTTGCAAGTATTTTATTGAGTATTTTTGCATCAATGTTCATAAGGGAGATTGGCCCAAAATTCTCTTTCTTTGTTGGGTCTTTATGAAGTTTAGGTATCAAGGTGACTAAGGCTTCATAGAATGAGTTCGGTAATGTTCCTTCTGTTTCTTTTTCATGGAATAGTTTGAAGAGAACTGGAA